TGAGACAATCCTGGTTGTAGACCCTCAGTCTGCTACTTACTAGTTGTGACATTCACTGTGGATCCCAAACTCAGGGGTCCCAGTGTCCTCACCAGCAGAACACATCCTTCCTCAAAGAGTGGCTGTGAAGACTAATATGGTTACTTGTAAAAGCTCTGTCTTTGCTCCATTTAGTCTTTCCCACTGCTTTGTTTAGTCTTTCAACCAAATTGTAAGGAATTTGGGGGCTAAAGGGAGTGGGAAATGGAATTATCATTAAAACTCCTTCTACATGCAAAAAGAAGCTCTAGAGTCATTAGACGTTGGTGTTGAAAATGACCTTCAAGGTCATCCAAACCAATTCTCTAAATGTAGAGAGGAGAACACTGGCCATGTGGTGTATTTTGTACACTCACCATAACATGTTTATGGATGGATGAAGTGACTTGAGAAGACCTCATAAAGAAATGAGACTTAGTTTCATGAAGGAAATGAAAACCACCATGTGGCACTATTTAAAAGACTTCACCTATCCCACTACTTGGTCCAGACCAGTGTCTGGCTGTCCCCACTCCTGGCTCAATATCTCTCAAAAGTAGTTTCTAGGCCACCTTCCTTGAGAGACCTTCAAGGGGCCTAAGGTCTGAGTTTAAATGAAAGTTATCCCAAAGTGTCAATAGTTGCTCAGTGTTCATAAAGTATTTTAGACTATATAATTGATTCTACATACTAAGACCAAAAGCAGACTCATTTTACAAAACAATATTTAACCCAAAGTTAACTTATTTTAGAGTAGATGGAAAACAGTCTTAGTTGCAAAGAGAAAAGACACAAGAAAACAAAATGAAGACCAGTTATAACAATGCCATTTTCTCTACCCCCTAAAAAATATTCTCTATCCCTAGTCAAGCCTTTCTCTTTACCTGCTTAATTGTTCTCATAACACTTATTATCATCTGAAATATTAAATGTACTTGTTTATTCCATCAGGGCCCACATCTCCTCACTAGAATGTATATTCCACGAGGACTCAGACCTCATCTGTTCTGTTCACTGAATAGTTCTAGTGCCTAGAATAGTTCCTGCTGTATAATTGGTACATACTTGTTGGATAAATGAGTGGATTAGCAAATAAGTTTGGGCAGGGAGGGAAGGAGTCACAGAACATAAAAACACAGAATATGGCGCCATTTTTGGCCTATAAACTTTGCCCCTATGCCCACTAGTTCTGTCTAGAAGCCATTAAGAACATTCTCTCAAGGACCAGTAGTTAGCATAACGGCTATGTCGCTTGACTCCCATGTAGTTGACTGCGGTTCAAGTCCTGTTCCTGGGGCCTTAAACTCTTGCCAGGCACATGTGCATTCATGTCCAAGATCCTGAGAGGAGAATGGAGGAGAAGGGATTGTGGCATGGCCATTCCCCCTGGGGGGAAATTCTCTCTTTCTGTCTCTCTGTCTCTCTCTGTCTTTCTGGCGAGCATGAGCCCTATGGCAAAAAAACTCTCCAAAAGAAAAAAAGAACATTCTCTCATTTCTCAGCTCTGAATCCATAATCACCAAGCAACCTTTTAACAGTGAGAGGGAGGGAACCAGCAGTTAGCGTAATGGCTATGTCACTGGACTCCCACATAGTCGACCACGGTTCGTGTCCCGGACCCGGTGGCTTAAAACTCACGCCGGGCGCGTGTGCGTGTGTGCCCAAGATCCCGAGAGGAGAATGGAGGAGAAGGGATTGCGGCGTGACCATCCCCCTGGGGGGTGATTTCTCGCTTTCTGTCTCTATGTCTCTGTCTGTCTGGCGAGCACATGTGCCCTATAGCAGAAACCTCTCCAAAAAAAAAAAAAAAAAAAAAACAGTGAGAGGGAAAGTGAGAAATCACCACCTCCCCAATGGGGAATGGCCACACCGTAATCCTTTCTCCTCCATTCTCCTCTTGGGATTTGGGGCACACACACCCATTGTGATTTCCAAGCCACTGGGTCCAGGACTCAAACACCGTCAGCCTTGTGGGAGTCCAATACCTTAACCACCATACCACTTGCTGGACCCTCACCAATAAACTTTTGCTTTAAGTCTTCCTATGTGCTTTTCCCACAGATGGAAATATAAGGGTCACAATTCTGGCTTGCTTGGCAAGTAAGTTAGCAGGGTGGGATTTCATTTTTTTTCTTTTTAAATTGGTTCACATGTCAAAAGGATTCTGAAGAATGGAAAGTCAATCAGGATGGAAATCCGTGGTGAAGAGAGCAAGGAAGAGCATTTCAGAGACTAGGGATCTAGATCTCATTCTGCTTTTGACTCACCTGTCTGGACTTAAATCCCCACTTCTCTGGGGTTCAATTTCCCCGTAAAGTCTGTCACCTTGATAACTGAGTCACTTCCATCTTTCTAAGTAAGGCCTCTATAAAACTAAAGTAAGCCCTTCCATGAGTCGTTAACTCATGTGGCACAATACAGCTATTGACAATATGGTGTGGTTCGCTTGGGTCATGGGGTCAGCACTTTTCCTGGGGTCAGGAAAAGATAGATAGTGTCCTCATTAAAAACCTAAGATGCCAGTGGAGGTACTGCACCTGGAGAATACACAGCAACTCTCTTCATATCTAAAATTGTATAGGTGTGTGGGTGTGGAGCAGTGGCAGGAGATACAAGAGGGAAGGCAAGGCGGGGAGTAGAGGGTGTGTAGGTGATGGGACGGCAGGTGCGGAGAGCACAGATCAGGAGAATCGCTCATTTTCCCATAAGTCCTGGCTCAACCCAAGTTTGACAAGTGAGAATATGCTCGTGAACTTTGAGTAGAGACATGAAAGTGTTTTCACTATGAGACACATCGCTGTTGGGAAAAACAAGAGTTGAGTGTCTCATACATTTTTTTCATTTCAGGTTTTAGATATCCATTTTCCATGGCTGCCCCATGACCCTTGCAGAATTTATTATCTGGCCTCCTTGAAATCCAACTTGCCTGCTTGTGACACAGTTATAGGGTTAATTCTCACATTTATACCGCTACATCCACCGTCTCACCTGAGTGCTAGTTTTATACAACTGCCTACCTACTTATCATTACTTTTAACTTCTATCATTGTATACATATATATAGAGAGAGAGACTCTAATAATTACTGTAAACTTAATTTTATTACTTACAAATGTAGTCTTTTAAATATAACGTCAGAAGCAAACATAGCACAAGGCCCCATTTCTAACTCACTCTATTCCTGTCATAGGCATCACTAATTTCATTCTAAGATTTAAATTTGGAATTTATTCTTCACTCCTCACAACCCTTCTTCAATAATTATTTACAACCTCCATAAACAACAACAGCAAACTCACTCATCTACCCCCCACTGTTCAATAGATGTTCACAATTCTAATATTTGTATCATGATATGAAATGATCTGATCTAATCACCCCAAGGTTATTGAGGCTTCTCTCAGAGTCTCTTGGATTGATCTCCTTTCTCTCCTCCTCTGCTTAATCCACATTCATCCCTTTGTGTCTAAACTCTCAGAGTAGCTTTCTCATTGGCCTCCCAGTCTCTAATTCCCCCTGTTTCAATCCATGTCAAGTAAACCAACAGACTGATCTTTTTTATTTATTTTTTTTGTAGAGGTTTTCACTATAGGGTGCGTGCGCTCACCAGACAGACAGAGAGACAGAGAGACAGAAAGTGAGAAATCGCCCCTCGGGGGGGATGGTTATGCCACAATCCCTTCTCCATTCTCCTCTCAGGATCTTGGGCATGCACGCACACGCACCCGGCGTGAGTTTTAAGCCACCGGGTCTGGGATGCAAACCACGGTCAACTACATGGGAGTCCAGCGACATAGCCATTACACTAACTGCTGGTCCCCAGACTGATCTTTTTAAAACTACTTTTGCCAAATCATGATTTAAAGTTCTATTGTTTGAGGGAAGGTTCCCATTCACTAATCAGAGCATTTGCAACCTTTTTATTGGCATTTAAGAGCTTCAGTCAATTGTGTGCTCCTTCCCAGCTACACACAATTACTATTTGCCTTTATTCAACTCATCCCTGTTTGAGCACTAGCTGCAAGCCAGTCCTTGCATCACCCACCACAATCCAGCGTCCTCTTCCCTGCCCAGCCTGTGTGACGCTCCCCTGCACCACCACAGTGACTTTGCTCCTGTTCTTGCTCTGCCAGAAATCTCCTTTCTGACAATCCAGATCTGATATTTCTTCTCAGATGCACTTTCCTGAAGGCTTCCCGTGGGAATGAATCCCAGACCACAACAACCTTTCCTTTTTTCCAAATCTCCTCAGCATTCCCACACCAGATATCGATTACTAAGTATTATTCTCTTATCATTTCAATCGAAAGTCAAGCTCCAAAAGGGCTGGAGCCAATTACCCAGATCCTGATGGGGCAGGACAGACACCAGGCCAGTCAAGATCTTAATTTTGCACGTAGACCATGGACAAGGTCTATTTGCTGCAGTAATAGAAAACAAGAGCCAACAATATGTGCCGAAGAGCTAAGACTCATTTCTGGCACAAGGGTAGAGATTTGGCCATGTTATGAGAAGTGTTTATTAAATGATGAGTTAAATTTAAAAAAATAATTCAAGCCTCTCACATACTCTGTGTTTCTCTAGCAGAGAAATCTCTACTACAGAGTGGATGGTATAACCTACCAGGTCTTGGTCACTAATCAGATTTGAATCCTTGACTCTTCTCGGCCAGAACACTAGGTTCGGTGAGGACAAGCAGCTCCCATCTGGTCTGCCTTCAACGGCATTACCCCTGTATGGGCAGCTACCTGCAAGTTTTCACCAGTGCATGCCCTTGAACCAAAGGTTGTCTACCTCCAGTACAAGCCAGGTATCTGTAGGGAAGTTTGTGAACATGCCTCCCATTCCCCTTGGTCCAGTGGCACAATGTCTTGTCCAGACCTAGAATCCTGCCCAGTTGCACACCAGCCCCTTCCAGAAAGCAGAGCAGAGGCCCCCTTCCCCAGGAGTTCTTAGGAGTGCAGGGAGGAAAACGGACTTACCCTCACACAGTAGTTCACGCCCATCCCCAACAGGTGCTGCAGGAAGTGCCTGTCCTGCCGGCTCCTGGAAGGTGGCTCTCCAGGGCCCGGAAGCGGGCAAGCATCAGCAGCGAAGGCGGTAGCCCGGTGCCCCACCAGGCTAGGCTGCGGCGGAGGTGCAGACCCGGCCCGACTTAGACTGGTTTCAGGGGAAACCGGGTTGCTGGGAGCCGGGTCCTGGCTTTCCTGGAGCTTCAGTCGGGGCACCTCTTTGGTACCCAGACAAAAGTTTTTCAGACTCAGCAAAGTGGCTGGGTTGGCCAGCTTCATGCTGGCCATGCGAGGGATCAAGGTGCACAGTGGGGTGGGGCTCTCCTGGGACGGCAAGGTGGCATCTTCAGGCGGCAGGTGAGGTGCCAGGGTAGGATAGGGAGGCTGCGGCGAGACCTTGTTCCCGACCGAGCCTCCAGGGCTGCCTTCATCCAAGGACGAGATGGATTCGTTCCGAAAGCGGCTGTACTTGGCCCTGTGCAGCATTCCGGGGTGCCCGAAGAGTCCTACATACAGCACGAGTCCTGCCAGGCTGTCCTGGCCGCGTTCTCGCATAGCCTTGGCAGTGCCGACCCGGGGTACTGTGGCATAAATCGCCTGGTCTTCTCGGTCAGTGGCATGGACATCAAACACCTCAACGCCCGGTGCGACTCCGGCAGCCCCCTCTCCAAACTCGGCTCTCGCCCTCGCCCTCGCCCTCGCCCGCCTGGGCTCCCAGCCCCTGAAGGATGACAGCCCAGGGGGAAACCGCCTCCCCAGCTCTGATTTCAGTCCCTCCCTGGCCCAGACAGAGGCACCGGTGTTCTCGCTTGGGTTCCTGGCTGGAGAAGCCTGGACCTCGGCTGCGGGCGGCGGGGATCGCGCGCGGTCAACTCTTCCGCACGGAACCCGGCCGAGCCCCCCCCGGGTCCCGCCGCATCGCTAGCCTTGCAGGAGCCTCGTAGAAATACTTCGCGTCCCCCACCCCCAGCCTCCCCTTCTGCACACAGGAACTTTCAAACCTGCTCCCTTCGGCTCTCACAGGGCGGGGCAATGACTGGCCTATTAACCCTTTATTTGTTTCCAGTGATTGTTCATTTTTAAAAAAAGAGAAAAAAAATGTATGCATGAGCCCAAGGTCCTTCTGCCTGAGTTCGTTGATCCTGAAGGCTGCCCTCTCTTGGAAGGAAGATCTCGTCTTGCATCTTGTTCTGGGCCCCGAGCCAGGAGTGTTAGTGACGGGCTCTGTACCGCATTGTTTCACTGACTTGCGATCCCTCCATGGTCCTCGGATCAGATCCCCTCCCAGCCTGCACACTCTGGCTCCGAGCTTCCCTCCCTCCTAGACTCCTCTTGGAGCTTCTTTCAGGAGCCCATTTGCAGCAGAAGGCTGAGATGTGCAAGATGATACGCAGAGTATTGAAATTTTTATGAATGAACTTTGCCGAATGAATTTCTCTGTGTGTGTGTGCAAGCTAATAAATCTGTGAATGAAGCTGAGAATAGCTGTAATTGACTGCCCGTCTCAGGGGTGCTTGGTTTTTATCCAATCAGGCTGCAGCCTGATGACTCATGCACCATAAATATACGAAACTAGTAGCCGGGAGAAATAAAGCTGGCGGAAAGGAGGGAGAGATTTTATTTTGTGATAGCTGATGAATGGGTTAAAATGAAAGGCCATCTTTAGGCCATCAATAAGCTGGGAAGCAGCAGGTTAAAAGGTCTATGTTCTTTCTCGTTGAGATGGCAGGAGAGCCCAGCAGAAGAGGTACGGACCAGATCCATTGTTCCACGGATATTAGGACATATGGTACACAACTCCTGTGGGAAGCGGTGATGCATTTTTCTTAGAAACATAGTTCTTTTTTTATTGATTGTTGGATCCATCTTCCGTCTGGTGCAACTTCCTGTACCTATCAAATGCATTCTGAAGACGTGATGACAACTGCAAGCTTAGCACACAGGAAGCCCAAACCAGAGCTGGGAAAAGGAAATCCAGGTTCTTTCAGGAATGGAGAAGAGGAAACTGCTGAAGCATTAGGGTTGGGAGGGAGGTGGGTGAAAATCACAGAGAGGCTGTGGCAAGAAAATCTCAGTTTAAGGTTGCATTTCCCTGTAGGTCAAGTCTTTGACACCTGAAATTGTCCATTAACTCAAAATTTAAAAAAAAAAAAAAAAAACTGGCCATCGAGGGAATCAGGGATGCCACCTCATTATGTTGCCGACCCAAGGCTGCGTTAGGAGTTAGGCTCATGTGTATTCATGTCAGCCTGAGCTCCCTTGGGCTCCAAACAGGTTCTCAGCTCAAAGGCCCAGACTGACCAGAGGAAAAGGTGTCCTGTCCGGCTTCCTACTGCCCCTTTCCTATCCTGTCTGCCAGCGCTCTTAGGGTGTGCTTTTTCCAGGGAAGGCCTTTGTGCATCGTCATAAATTTTCCCTTCAATTATTGCTCACCTCCTTTCCCCATCCCGCACCTCCTGCAGGCAGAAAGGAAGGGAATCAGTTGGTCCCCACAGGCCGGAAGCTGAGATGGGCTTGGGCAAGGTTCTGAGGTTACCCATTTGGTGCCTCTTCTTCCTCCCCATTCTCTTTCTTTTTCTTTTCTCTTATTCCCCTCCCTTGAGTCTTTTCCTTGCTTCCGTATGCTATGATATCCCCAATGCTGTGTCTCCTGGAAAAAGTTACTTTACCTCTCTGTGCCTGAGTTTCTTCCCCTGCTATATGCAGCTAGCTGATGGAGGTGTTTTGTGGATCTGAGATAATCTTAACTTCTCTGCAGCGTTGGAACCATGCCTGCCTTGCTAAGTACATGCCGGGCAGTATGAGCAAAGGCCATTGGAACCAGGGTCACCTCCCCTTGAAGCTCCTATTCTAACGCCCTGCAGTTTAGAGTCTACAAGGTCCTAGAAAATATTTTAAATAGCACAAAGTGGGAGGAGCCATGAAAGCCAACACAGACCAAAGACACAATCTCCCAACAGTCACATGGACCTGGAGAAGGTAGGAAGGATGGGGCCTACCTGGCTCTTGTGAATTTTTGCTGATGTCTTCCCGACGGCAGAACCGGGTGCCCAGGGAAGTCAGTTCACCCAGGTCTGCACCATGCCTGCCAGACTCTAGGGGCTCAGAACAGTCCACATTCCCCAGGAAGGGGTCCTAGGAGGGTTGAGAGTAGGGTGGAGACAAGATGGGATCAGGAGAGGTAAGAAAGAGATCATAGCCACTGCAGACTGCCTCTCTGTCCCTGAGAACCCTGGAGACCTCGGCTGTCCCTGACAGCTCTGCCAGACCTTTTATGAAGATAAAGAAGCCGTATCTGCCACTGGGCAGTGGGGGACAGTCTCACAGGCCCATCAGCCGAGCTGGGCGGCTCTCTCCACTCAAACACAGGGGCTTAAAAGCTGTCCCAGCACTCCAAGAGAACACTTGTCAATTGGGCGGGTTTTCATTGCAAGGAGGTGGTTAGGTAAGGCAATGGTTTTGCTTTTTGCCAGGATATTGGAACATTCTCTTTAATTGGTAATGATGAAAAAAATAGTGACAAGACCTATTGTTTATGGAACACCTGAGAGTTTCATTGTTCTCCACTTTTGATAACATCTGGTGACTGGGACTCTGCTCATCACCACTGCACAGACGTGGAAAAGCAGTGAGAGCTGGTGTGGTGACTTGGCCAAGATCCCCTGGCTGTCGTATGGTGATGCCAGCATCCCTCCAGCAGCTCTGCCTGACTGCGAAGTCCGTGCTGCCAGCCAGACAGTCTTCTGCTGTCTCTCGGGAACAGAGACCTCAAGTCTAGATTTCAAACATATGATGAGAGCTATGGGCATCTCTCTGCCCAACGGAGCTCTGAGAAATGACTGAACAGGGAGAGCAGCTGGGGACTTTTTGGAGGTTCTGGAATGTGGAGACGCCTACCCTCAGGCCTGCCTCATAGGCCAGCCAGAGAAAGGCCTGCAGATTCCCCCACCTGTTGTTTTTCCTGTCTCTACTCCTCCACAACTCCCAGGGGAGAGTGTATGTGCCCAAAGATTGTGTTTTTATTGTTGTTGTTTGTGTTTTAGGTTTTTGTCATAGAGTGTGTGTGCTCACTGGAGAAAGACAGAGAGGGAAAGTGAGAAATCACCCCCTAGAGGGATAGCCATGCCGCAATCTCGTCTCCTCCATTCTCCTCTCAGGATTTTTGGGCTTGCACACATATGTGCCTGGCATGATTGTCAAGCCACCAGGTCCAGGATTTTAATCGTCAGCCATGGTGCCTTAACCACCATGCCACTAGCTGACTCCACCCAAGGATAATTTCTTAAAAGTAAAGATAAGGGCCAGCCAGTGGAGCGGAGGTTAAGGTGGGTGGATCCCACATGGCTGACAGTGCAGTCTGAGCCTAAGACCTGAAAAAAGAGCAGCTTGAAAAAAGAGCTGGACGTGTGTGCGTGTGCCCAAAGTCTTGAAAGGACAAAGGAAGGAGAAGGGATTGGGGCATGACCATTTCCCATAGCGGATGCTTTCTCACTCCCCTCCCTCTTTCTTTCTGTCTCTTTCTGGCAAGTGCCCACAACTTCTAGGGGGAAAAAAAAGAGTAAAGATAATACTAGGCTACAGGACCAGCAGTTAGCGTAATGGCTATGTCGCTGGACTCCCACGTAGTCGACCGTGGTTCGAGTACTGGACCTGGTGGCTTAAACTCATGCCGGGCGCGTGTGCATGCGTCCCCAAGATCCCGAGAGGAGAGTGGAGGAGGAGGGATTGCGGCGTGACCATCCCCCCTGGGGGGTGATTTCTCACTTTCTGTCTCTGTTTCTCTCTGTCTGGTGAGTGCATGTGCCCTATAGCAAAAACCTCTCCAAAAAAAAAAAAAGATAATACTAGGCTAGATGTCTAGTGAAACGTCAGGAGCTGGCCACTATCTGCAAGCTGTGTGTGCCAAATAGCAACACGTATCAGAAAGAGCATTCACTGGGGAACTATAGAACCAGCGGTGGGATTATCTGAATAAATGGCACTTCTCTGGGATGCAGTTCCCTTATCTATAACATGGGCATGGTACTAACTGCTGAGCACTGACCCTAGAACAGTCCTGAACTTTGTATCTCAGATTTAAGGCTCCAGCAAGTTTTCGTGGCAGGTGCTACTCGTCCGACGCACACAGCCAGTGAGTGGCAGGCTAGGGTAGAGCCAAGTCGTCATTAACTCTGGAAGCAACACCATCCTTTGCTACTTGAAGGAAATATTTTCCATTTTCCCCCAGACTTCGGCCCTGGTAGCTAGAGAGCTTTCTGAATGTCACTGTCGACGCCGACTGGCTCTCCTAGATTCAGGACCGCCTAGAAGAGTACAGGAAAACAGGTATTTTCTGGAAGTGCGATGTAAAGAGCGAGAGGTCACGTGGATGAAATATGAATTCTCAAAATACCTCGTACTTCGAATTTAAAGCTAGCATAGGATAAAAATGTCCTTGGTTCGGAAGCCCATACACTAAAACTGGAATGATACAGAGAAGACTAGCATGGTCCCTGCACAAAAGTAGATGAATTCCTCAGGGTGCAGGTCCAGTTGCAAAAATACACAAATCAAAAGTATGATGGCTTAAATAAAAAGTTTTTTTCCCTGGAGGTGAGAAATCCGGGCCTAGGGTCAGCTCTTGGCGGTCCCTAAAGTATACTGCATCTCCTCATCACCTGGAATAGCTGGTGGAACGCAAATCATTCCATCTTCACCTCAGGCAACAGAAGAGGGATTGCGGCGTGACCATCCCCCATGGGGGATGCTTTCCTCTGTTCCTTCTCTCTGTCTTTCTTGAGAAACAGAAATAACAGGGTAACTATATATGTAAAAGAAGGGAATTATTGGGACCAGCAGGTGATGTGGTGGTTAAGGTGCTGGACACTCCCACATGGGTTACCATGGTTCGAGTCCTGGACCTGGTGGCTTGCTTTCTCACTTTCCCTCTTTCTCTCTCTCTCTCTCTGTATCTCTCTGGTCAAATTAAAAATAAATAAATAAATAAAAGGAATGAATGAATAAAAGTAAATAAATAATTTTAAAAAGAAAATTTAAAAAAAAAAAGAAGGGAATTATTATAGAAATTGCCTCACACAGTCTGAAAGCAAATCCCTACAATAGGCTGTTTGCAAGCTGTAGAAACAGCTGAGACACTGAAGCAAGGAAGATGGTGTAGTTCCAATCCAAGGCCTGAAGGGGGCCCCCAGGGTGTAGCTGGTGTGAGTCCAGAGTCCAAAGGTTAAAGAACTAGGCGTCTGTTTGCCTAGAGAGGTGCAGGGGAAAGGGCCCACAGGAACAAAGGGCAGCCAAGGACCAGGTGGAGGGGCAGGGGTGGAGCAGACAGAATATCTGGAGTAAACCAGCACACTCCAGAAGGAAAAGAGTGGAAGAGAGAGGGAGAAAGAGAAGAGAAAGGAAGAAGGGGAGCCAAGAAACAGAAACCCTACTTCCTCTGTTTGCCCCTCCCATGCTCCTAGTCAACTGAACGGTGGGAACGGTGGCCACCCATGTTGAAGGTGGCTCTTCCAGGGCAATACCCTCACAGATACCCTTACAACAATATTCCACCAGGCGTCCAGGCGTCCTTCAGTCTAGTCAAGTTGACATCCAAAATTAACCATCATCAATGCTAGTTTCTGCCATAGTAATCTTTTCAAAACACCTCGTACTTAGAATTTAAAGCTAGCATAGGATAAAAATGTCCTTGGTCAACGTGGCCCAGTTTCCCCTTTTTTCTGCATGCATGCACAGTCACATACACGAGATGTTTAAAAATGACCCACGTGAAACAAGACACTGCCAGAATAGCAGCTTGCCTCTGCAGAGCCAACCGGAGAGGGCGTCTTCAGACCTCTGAAAGACGGTCAGGGGCTTCCAGAGCCAGAAGTAAGAAATGACAAGAAGTGTGTCCAGACCACTCAGAGGCCAGTCTACGTGGTTAACGGGGTCAGGACCAGCTTACAAGAGGGAGAGAGTGAGAGCTGAGCAGGTGATCAGAGCTTGGTCAGCCGTAGGTGCCAGTTCGGGGCAGGATCATATTTGTGATTGTGAACTGGTGAGAGACAAACACAAGGACAAGGTCCTGGACAGTAGGACTCCTGCACTCTGAGCTTGCTAACCCAATCCTTGAATCCAGCCTTCTTTCCCTTGGCCCACCTTCACCAGGAAAAGCTAAATATTCATGTCTCGGGCTTCCTTGAAACTGTCGAAAGTGGCATGCAACTCAGTTTTGAACTCTGACATGCACGAATGATGGAGATACCCGAGGAACCATCTGCTTTTCTGATTAAGGGGCACACAAAGCTGGAGCTCACCTCCTTTCCCGCATGTCTGTCTGCCGCCGCGCACAGCCAGTGAGTGGCAGGCTAGGGTAGAGCCAAGTCGTCATTAACTCTGGAAGCAACACCATCCTTTGCTACTTGAAGGAAATATTTTCCATTTTCCCCCAGACTTCGGCCCTGGTAGCTAGAGAGCTTTCTGAATGTCACTGTCGACGCCGACTGGCTCTCCTAGATTCAGGACCGCCTAGAAGAGTACAGGAAAACAGGTATTTTCTGGAAGTGCGATGTAAAGAGCGAGAGGTCACGTGGATGAAATATGAATTCTCAAAATACCTCGTACTTCGAATTTAAAGCTAGCATAGGATAAAAATGTCCTTGGTTCGGAAGCCCATACACTAAAACTGGAATGATACAGAGAAGACTAGCATGGTCCCTGCACAAAAGTAGATGAATTCCTCAGGGTGCAGGTCCAGTTGCAAAAATACACAAATCAAAAGTATGATGGCTTAAATAAAAAGTTTTTTTCCCTGGAGGTGAGAAATCCGGGCCTAGGGTCAGCTCTTGGCGGTCCCTAAAGTATACTGCATCTCCTCATCACCTGGAATAGCTGGTGGAACGCAAATCATTCCATCTTCACCTCAGGCAACAGAAGAGGGATTGCGGCGTGACCATCCCCCATGGGGGATGCTTTCCTCTGTTCCTTCTCTCTGTCTTTCTTGAGAAACAGAAATAACAGGGTAACTATATATGTAAAAGAAGGGAATTATTGGGACCAGCAGGTGATGTGGTGGTTAAGGTGCTGGACACTCCCACATGGGTTACCATGGTTCGAGTCCTGGACCTGGTGGCTTGCTTTCTCACTTTCCCTCTTTCTCTCTCTCTCTCTCTGTATCTCTCTGGTCAAATTAAAAATAAATAAATAAATAAAAGGAATGAATGAATAAAAGTAAATAAATAATTTTAAAAAGAAAATTTAAAAAAAAAAAGAAGGGAATTATTATAGAAATTGCCTCACACAGTCTGAAAGCAAATCCCTACAATAGGCTGTTTGCAAGCTGTAGAAACAGCTGAGACACTGAAGCAAGGAAGATGGTGTAGTTCCAATCCAAGGCCTGAAGGGGGCCCCCAGGGTGTAGCTGGTGTGAGTCCAGAGTCCAAAGGTTAAAGAACTAGGCGTCTGTTTGCCTAGAGAGGTGCAGGGGAAAGGGCCCACAGGAACAAAGGGCAGCCAAGGACCAGGTGGAGGGGCAGGGGTGGAGCAGACAGAATATCTGGAGTAAACCAGCACACTCCAGAAGGAAAAGAGTGGAAGAGAGAGGGAGAAAGAGAAGAGAAAGGAAGAAGGGGAGCCAAGAAACAGAAACCCTACTTCCTCTGTTTGCCCCTCCCATGCTCCTAGTCAACTGAACGGTGGGAACGGTGGCCACCCATGTTGAAGGTGGCTCTTCCAGGGCAATACCCTCACAGATACCCTTACAACAATATTCCACCAGGCGTCCAGGCGTCCTTCAGTCTAGTCAAGTTGACATCCAAAATTAACCATCATCAATGCTAGTTTCTGCCATAGTAATCTTTTCAAAACACCTCGTACTTAGAATTTAAAGCTAGCATAGGATAAAAATGTCCTTGGTCAACGTGGCCCAGTTTCCCCTTTTTTCTGCATGCATGCACAGTCACATACACGAGATGTTTAAAAATGACCCACGTGAAACAAGACACTGCCAGAATAGCAGCTTGCCTCTGCAGAGCCAACCGGAGAGGGCGTCTTCAGACCTCTGAAAGACGGTCAGGGGCTTCCAGAGCCAGAAGTAAGAAATGACAAGAAGTGTGTCCAGACCACTCAGAGGCCAGTCTACGTGGTTAACGGGGTCAGGACCAGCTTACAAGAGGGAGAGAGTGAGAGCTGAGCAGGTGATCAGAGCTTGGTCAGCCGTAGGTGCCAGTTCGGGGCAGGATCATATTTGTGATTGTGAACTGGTGAGAGACAAACACAAGGACAAGGTCCTGGACAGTAGGACTCCTGCACTCTGAGCTTGCTAACCCAATCCTTGAATCCAGCCTTCTTTCCCTTGGCCCACCTTCACCAGGAAAAGCTAAATATTCATGTCTCGGGCTTCCTTGAAACTGTCGAAAGTGGCATGCAACTCAGTTTTGAACTCTGACATGCACGAATGATGGAGATACCCGAGGAACCATCTGCTTTTCTGATTAAGGGGCACACAAAGCTGGAGCTCACCTCCTTTCCCGCATGTCTGTCTGTCTTGAATGTGAATGTGATATCTGGAGCTGTGGGAGCCATATTGTAATCAGGAAGGGAAAATCAACCAAATTATCAAACCAATAGTTTGATATCATTGAATCGAACCAAGTCCAGGAGCCACCTCTAGATATGCTGCTATGTGAGAAAAATAAACCTATGCTAGTTCTAGCAGCCCAAGCAGCTCTTAGCTGTTATTTACAGCCAAGTGCATTACTCTGTGACAGAGAGTAGCAAGTACAGGAGAATGACATGCACAGGGCCTCCAGGTATAAGATAGAAGCCCAGTTATGGGAGGAAACTCTGGAGTCTGATGGGAAAAGTCTGAATCTAATCAGACCACCCTGGTACAAACCTGGGTGCTGGCAGTCTGATAGGCAGACTACAGGCTCCCAAAAATGTCTGTACTCTAATCCCAGGAACAGACGAAACTTCACAGATGTGGCTAACATTACAGACCCTGAGAAAACGGGAGAGATTGTCTGAGTGGACTCAATCTCATCACACAAGTCCTTTAAAGCGGAGAACATTTCTGAGAGTTGGGACAGAAAAAGAAGGAAGAGCAATTTGAAGCATGAGAAGAACTCAACCTGCTGTCATTGGCTTTGAAGACGGAGGAAGGGGCCATGAGCGAAGGAAGCTGACAGACAACAAAGAAATGGGGATGTCAGACTCAGAGCTGCAAAGACCTGAATTCTGCTAACAGCCTAAATGAGCAAGAAAATGAATCTTTCTCTAGATCCCCCGCGCAGGGATGCAGTCCTGACAACACTTTGATTTGAGCCTGGTGAGGTGCATGTTAGGTTTCTACCCCTGCTCTGACCTATAGAGTAGTAAGATAATAAATTCGTATTGTTTAAGCTAAGTTGGCAGCAATTTGCTATGGCAGTAGTAGAAAACTAACACAGATTTCAGCACCAGGCGCGGGATGCGCTACACCAAATACAAAATGTGCAGTGGCTTTGAAACTGGGCAGCAGGCAGTGGCTAGAAAAATTTTGAGGAGCACAAGCAAGGAACCAGACTTCTTTTGGTGAACTCTTAGTAGAAATATGGACATTAAGGAAACTAAAAATGGGGAGCTGCAGTTAGCGCAATGGCTGTGTCACTGAACTCCCATATAGTCGACCGCGGTTCAAGTCCTGGACCTGGTGGCTTGGACTCATGCCTGGAGCGTGTGCATGTGTGCCCAGGATCCCGAGAGGAGAATGGAGGAGAAGGAATTGCGGCGTGGCCATCCCTCCTGGGGGGTGATTTCTCGCTTTCTGTCTCTCTTTCTCTCTCTGCCTTTCTGACGAATGCATGCACCCTATAGCAAATCCCTCTCCAAATAAAAAAGAAACTGAAAATGTCATTAGGAATGAGAGGGAAGAGGATCTTTGTTAAATAGTGGCAGAAAGCTTAGTGCAATTGTGTCCTACAGTTCTGTGGAAAGCAGAATTTGCAAAGGGTGACATTGAACATTCCATAGAGGAGATTTCTAAGAAAAACGTTGAAGATGAGGTCTCATCTCTTCTTGCTGCTTTTAGTAAAATGTGAGAGGAAGGAAATAAATGGAAGGAAGAGTTTTTTAAAGAAAACAAACAGGATTTAATGGTTTTGAAAGCCCACATACTATCCAGTTGGCAAAATATGCTAAAATTAAAAGACTCACTGCTAGGAATGTGTGCACTTCAGGAAAAGCCCAGGGTGTGACATCTTAGAGCAAAAGGTATAATAAAGTCACACAAAAGGCTCTCAGATGAGGGTGTGACTCACAAATCCTCAACCAAACTAAAGAGTTTATGATCTGTTCTCTTAACCATATCAACAAAAGCTAAAAGTAAAGGTGAAAATATCTAGAAAAGATTTCTGAATGAGCCTCTTGTCTAATGAAGTAAACCCCCATGACACACATGGGAGACCCACAATGACCATGAGACAGTTATGTCAGCAGAGACACTGCTAGCTTAAACAGAGGATACCAAGAAAACACAATGAAAAATGGCTGTTGAACCTTTTAAGTTCTATAGGCAGAAAACAGGCTGATAAAATACTCAGCTGCAGGGCAAGCAGGTGGCATAGCGGTAACATCACTGGAATCTCACATAGTGGACTGTAGTTCGAGTCTTGGACCCAGCGGCTTGAACCTCACATCCGGAGCATGTGCATGCATGACCAAAATCCTGAGAGGAAAAGGGATTGTGATGTGGGCATTTCTCCTGGGGTGTGATTTTTCACTTTCTCTTTGGTGAGCAGATGCACCCTATAGCAAGAATCTCTCAAAACAAAACAAAAACTCAGCTGCAAACATATTGCTACCCTTCATGAAAAAAGAAGGATAATACAAAGGGCAGATGCCTGACCCACAAAGGATTATTCCCAGATCTGAAACCTAGTTGAATTTACCTGGATAATTTGTAAATTTCTTGAGAGGGATGACACTTTTTTTTTTTTGTTTTTTGTTTTTTTAGTTTGCTATAGGGCGCATGTGCTTGCCAGAGAAAGAGAGAGAGAGAAAATGAGAAATCACCCCGCAGGAGGGATGGGATGGCCTCATGGCAACTCCTTCTCCTCTCGGGATTTTGGGCATGCATGCAGATACACCCAGCGTAATTTTCCAGCCACTGAGTCTGGAACTTGAACCACGAAGTCAGCCATGTGGGATCCAGCCACCTTAACCTCCACACCACAGTCTGGCCCCTCATGACACTTTCCCCCCTCAATTTTCTCCTTTTTGAACCGGAATATCTGTAACTGTTATCCCATGTCTGTCCTGCCACCATAATTTGAGTGCAGATCATCTATTTCTCTGGTTTCACAGGTCCACACCTGGAGGAAACTTTTGCCCAGGGGTGAGTCCTTCTCAGAGCTTTGCCTTTATCTGATTCAGATGCTAAGATCTAAAACGTTTGAGTTGATGAGATTCAGGAGTTTTGAGTTAATGCTATAATAAATTGAGACAAGGTATCTGTGGATCAGGTGAATGTATTTTGCATGTGGGACAGATATAAGTCTTTGGTGGCCAGAGAAAGGACTGACCTACAGGAAGTTAAGATAATTCATTTGTACCATTAAAGCTGTTAAATTTATGGTAACTCCTTATAGTAGCAATAGAGACTAAAGCAGATGCTTTGTACTACAAGTCAGGGAAATAGAAGTATTTTTCATCCTGAGATGAAAAAGCAGCAACAAGAATGCCACAAGTTGTTTCCAGCCTAATCATCCATTCCTGCAAAATACA